CCCCCCTCCCTCTTTCCCCCGCGCTCAGTCCTCCTCGGCCACATATGGACTCATATGAACCCATACGGTGCCCCTGTACGACCACATATGGCGGTGCTGTCCGCCCGTTTTCCCGCTCGTTTAAGATCGTCTCCCCCTCCCCCTCCTTTTTCTATAGACGCGGCCCACTGCCCCCGCAGCGACTAGTCGCAGGGGCGGGAGCGGAGTCCGTAGAGAAAGTGCGGCGCAGCGGGGCGGTGGCGCACAGGGCAAAAAAAAATAAAATAATGCGCTCCTGGCACTGCTTGACTTTGCCTTGGTTTTGTTACTCTTGCAAAACATTATTGTAGTTCTTTGCTACTGAAAGGGCTGTTTTAAGGGTGTTTGCCCTCACAAGGAGTTTACACTCTCTGAAGGAGAAAAGAATTTGAGACGGCAAACTTAATATATTGTTTGTAAAAGAAAAAGATAATTTCGGTGCGATAACAGTAATCAAATTCCCACCTAACTATTGGTAATTTTCCGATGACGAGAGCCACAGTTCGCGCGAGTCCGGCGAGGCGTTGCTGGCCGTGTTGCCGCAGCGCCGGGGCGTCCCGCTCAACGGCGCACTTTGCCGGCGAGCGGCCGTGGCTATGGCCACCCTGCTGCGCTACAAGCCGCTGGGGCGAGCGCCGGAGCGAGGCCACCTCGCCGGCGCTGGCTGGCTCCCTCGCACACTCGGGGCCGCGCATGGGCGGCCGGTGGTTAGGACCGCGATAAAAGAAACTCTTCTTGTACGCCGTGGCGATAGTGGTGTGGTGTTTGAACGCGCTACTGCCAGCCAAGTACACCAGTACACACACTCCTTCGAACGTCCTAGTAGTCCGCAAGCACGAATCTCGTGCTCTGGCCATACACTTTTTTAAATAAGTTTAAATGTGTATTCTTGAAGTGGTTCTGCGCATTTCTGCCTATGCTTGCCGTTCGCACAGAATGAATTATTGTATCTATGAAGAGTAGCTCGTGTCTGACGATATCGACCCGTATTCCAGTGATTGAATAAGCACTCGGATTGAAGTGCCAGCCTAGTAGGCAGGCATCCCTCTACACCAGAAATAGGAGGTGCTTGTAACCATGTGCATACACTGTTATTTCAAAGGCGTCCCGTCAGAGTGCGACAAAGGTGTATGCTACAGAAACCA